TTATAGCAGCAATAAAAATGCAATTTCCCCGAATGCGGTAAAAAAACCTTACGTCGTTACGTAAGGCGACGTCGTAATGTATCGTAAAACATCCTAATATACACAGTTTTAGGTTTCTGATGAACTAATATACAAGGTGATGTTTTAAAGCCGCGTCATTTTCTAGGAGGTAACTCGGCTGTCGATTCTGAGTCCGAATTAATAAAAAGATTGTAGGTAAATATTGTTCATTTTTCTGTAAATTACGGGAATCCATAAGTGCGAACTACACGCCGCCGTCTTGTAACTAGTTTTATAACGCGGCTTAACACACTCAAACTCAAACTCAATTGATATTATTCCTAATTCCATAAAACTCCAATAAGAAACATTGCTGTCGCTTATTCTGAAATACTGTCGAACTTAAACGATTTATTATAGCCGTATTTTTAACTATTGGCCCGTAATTTTCTCTTACATTTTACCTTTATGACTTCTGTGACATGCCCCCGAGAAATGCCACGGTTTTTAAAACTACACCTTGTATATGTAATTGTATAAATATCGTGATGTGTACAAATTTATCATATTGGGATTTAAGTGTGGGAGAGTCATGCTTCGGCTCGGCACGAATGGGCTGGCTCGACCGGAGTGATACCACGGCCTCACAGAAGACCGACGTGAAACGACGCTTGCGTTGTGTTTCGTCGTGTGGGTGAGGATATTTTTTTAAATATCGTTTATCAAATGATATAAAAATTAAGAAGTTTTAATATTTTTTTGGGGCCCCCGTAGTCGGGAGGTGCTATATGTAGGTATACCTTCGTATATTAATTTATGTACGAAATTCTATTGCACCAATAGACATTAACTAATGGCCAATCAACTTTGAACTATAAAAAGGTCACCGGTATAACATTTAGGGTGACCTAATCAATATACAAACGCTAAACAAGACGTCAATTTCGCTTATGCAATCGAATTTAGTTTTTTAATTAATTAAATATTAAATAGAATATAAGCCAATTCGTTAAATAAATACCTACGTTAAATTCGACGTATATTATGTACAGCTTGAGTGGATAAAGACAGCTTGATAAAGACTCCCTCGTTGGCCGAGTGGTCGCAAGTGCGACTGCCGGGCAAGGGGTCTCGGGTGCGATTCCCGAGTCGGACAAAGTATTACTAGGTTTTTTTTACAAAATCTCAATAGTAGCACGGAGTCCGGAATTATGCCCGGTACATGGTCATGGGACCCATAACATAAATAATGAAAAGTGTTTAATGTGTTACATTGTACAGTGGCATTGACGGCCGTAATGTACACCTCTGCCTACCCCTTCAGGGATAAAAGGCGTGATGTTATGTTATGTTATGTTGATTAAGATTGGAGACAGCCGCTGGATGCAGATCTATACCTATCAGCCTTCTAGAGGTCATTGGAAAATGCCTATAAAATTAGAATACATTTTTTTTCATGAAGGAAGTATCCTTTAACTTTTGAAGACATGTTTTTTGGGAGAGAAGACTAGGGAGTACGAGAATTTCACTTCACTAAAATCATCCATCATTAGCACCTGTAAGATGGTCCTCTTAATATATCAAATCCCGAAAAGGACTATGTGCCTAGTTCTTTTAAAATATTCTAGAAATTTTCTGTGGGATCAATTAGTGGGCTTTTTTTTATCGTTTTATTTATTGTCTATAGTATTTAGGTTGTTACAGCCTTCCAACTTCCAATGATAATGGATTAGATAAAACTGCAATGAATTGATTACACTTCATGCCTCGTTAGGTATCTAGCAAATAAAACATCAATTGTTTTCGCTCTAAATAAAAATATGGGTGAGCAATTGGCCCCACTTCGCTATTACTTAGGCAACTTAAAATTTACTCTTTTTTTTCTTTTGATCAAAATAAAACTATACTTCAATGATATTAAAGTCTACATCGTTTTAATAAATTTAATCTTTATTACATGTGGTTTTGTAGCTGAATATTAACTTGTTAATCTTTATGATATGCCTATTAGCTGCAAATTACTTTAATAATGCAACATAATTAGATTTTCATGGGAGACTTTATTTTATGTATTTTAATCTGGCAACACTTTAATGAAGTTTGTTCTCGTTTTTTTTTAAATTAGTAAAGATATAAAAGTGAAACATGATTACATGAATTATAATTTTACTAAGAAGGATCATTTGGGAACTTCTTTTCATAACAATAGCTAAAGCAAAGTAGACTTAACGAAGGTTTATTTCAGGTCAAAAATGCATTAAACTATAAAGAGCGCTATGCAATAAAATTCTAGGAATAGTTTCGTTATGGCGAGCGGTGGACCCATTGTGTCGGCCATAACTTCGTGTGAGGTGACAATCGAGTCAGGGTTACCACAACTAAAAGAATATTTTACCATTCACAACGCACACTAATTCATTATTTATATACGACTGATTATTTTTCTGTGGAACATAACATGAATAACTTAATTATGAATCCTGCAGTGTTATTAGGAATTTTAACTTCAAAGTTGTCATAGAAAACGATACTCAATTTAAATTATTAAGCAAGTTCAAATTATTTATCTACAAGTCAATTACATACATAATCCCATAATTTTAAGTGTGGGAGAGCCACGAGTGGACCGGCTCGACCGGAGTGATACCAACGGCCTCACAGAAAACCGACCTCCCGAATCCCTGCATCCTCCACAATCCTCAAAAACCCAATTCCCAAAAGGCCGGTAAAGCACTTGTAACGCCTTGGTGTTTTGAGTGTCCATGGGCGGCGCCGATTGCTTACCATCAGGTGATCCGTCTGCTCGTTTACCGGATCATGCAATAAAAAAATAAATCTCAAACCTCAAGTCTCCCATGGAGTAGGTAGAGACTATAGAACGCCAATTGCGGCGATTCTTACATAGATAGGTACCTCTTTCGCTTCATCAACAGTCATAAATCGTATGAATGCTTGTCGGTTAAGGGTACCTACTTTTAAAATAACCTAGTCAATTACAATCAGTATCTAATGATGAGTAGGAATTACATTTAATAATATCGTCTTCCTCTGCCTTACATTGTAATTAAGAATATGCCTATAACGGTGTCAAAAAATTGTAATTACTATGCGGCATATAAGTATAATTTGTTGCATGTCTACCCATAGAAGCAGTGATGTCTAATTATAACTAATTTGAATTAAACACGACACCAATTTAAAAATCCTTAATCTTTTGTATTCAAATTGAACTTGGTTTTTTGTCTTGCCTAATTCACTGGGTTCACGTTTCATTGTCATACATTAAATAGCTTTTGAATAAAAGGTGTTGCAAATCTTTTTATCTTAATTTCAATCGGAATTATAGGATTGCATCCTGCCTTGGTATCGATCGACTTTCACTTTTTATATCAATAGGTTACTAATTATAATATAATGTAACTTAGAATTCAAATGGTTCAATGTGAGCATTCATTCATTATTGCAACAGTACTCGATACTATACTATTATGAATGTAGCTGCCGATGTATGCATATTGCCTACTTATATTTTATTGTACAGTCTATATGATGAAATAATTGTAATGACATTCAAATAACTAAATTGGGACGATCAGTCATAAGTACCCAATAAGCATTACAATGTGTTTCGCAAACATGATTACCAAGCTTTGTGGAAGCCATTTTGTTATTCGATTTTCAAATCAAAGTCTAAGTAGACATGTGTCAGTCAACCAGGATAATGTGTTGTGTTGCCATACGTAATAATTTAAGTATAACTTTGGGTATTTAATTTTTATTAACAGACATTTTAAAGCTATCGTTACACTATTATTTTCTTAATAGGATCGTGTTAAATTACGTTTAGAACTATTGTCTTATTTTGAAAAGTCATCAAAGTTCCAAACGTCTGTTACTAATACTTAAACCTGTAATGTATCTCCATTCTTATAAATAGACAAATGGAATTGTAAACGGTTTTATGGCTCGTTTACGACCCCATAATTGTCTCCCTTCATTTCTAAACTTCATTGAAGTGAATCGTTATTTATTTTAATTCGTAATATTACGACATACGTATCATATTTTATTGTTTATTAAGAAAATATTAATGAGTGAGCTAGTAAGACATAAAAACCTAGTAATCTGCATAACATGAAGCGTAAAACTTTTTATCTACTTTCGTGCAATAGCTGAGTAATTCCTGCTGTAGATAGTGCAAACAATTTTCAACTTTACTATCAAGTAAATAGACACGTATTTGGTATGATTCTTTGAAATATAAACGGTACAAAAATTGCATCTTTGAAGTGTTCTTATTATTGCTAACATCATTAAAATGGCTACTCTATTTAAGCCGTGTGAAAGATTCTAACATACATTTAAAGTATTTTTATCGTTGAAACGCCTCTACATAGTTATTTTAGTATGTAATTACGACCTTGTTTTATCAAAAATACATTAGGCGTGTTCGAGATATTGTCATCCGTTACATATATATCTAAACGCCATTAATATGTAACTTTTTAGCTGACGTTATTTCATATTTTATCCAATCATAGACGTCAAGGCGAATATAATATATGAAAGTGTATGACTAATATAATAATAGAATGTAATTATGTAATTAATTACCCATGCGTAATGTATTATATCAACTAACACAATGAGCCCGTGTTGTATGTAAATAAATATAATTATGGTATTTTATCTTGATATGATGAAAAAATTGACAAGGTATTGAATGAAGCCTACACTAACAAATAACGTGCCTGGACCTAAGTATGCCTAGTTCTCAAAACCTACACGATCACTTTTTGACAGCAAGTGGTCAATGACCCAGAAAACAAAAGACACATTGTTGTTCTTATTTAATTAGGTTATTGTTTTGTTGATATGGTAACAATCAATGACGACAATGCAAAACCAGTGCCAACATTGATGGTATCAATTGAAGAAAAATCTGGACGCGAACAACTAAATCAAATGTTGGAATAACGCAATAAAAGAAGAAAACTCACCGTTCTACTAGAGGAACCAGGTTATCAAGGAATTCGAAGCCACAATGCGTTGTAGCCGTGATTGTCTCATAACACTGGACAGGGCCGTGGTTAGCGCGCACGTAGTTCTTCAGCACCCAATACTCCCCCCGCTGCAAAGTCTCAGGAAAGAAATCCTTGTCTTTACAACCGAGGATAGCTTTAAGTGCCATCAGCGTGGAGTTTGTTAGCACATTCTCGTCGTAAGGTTCTTCATCTAGTATATTTGCTTCAGATGGCACGGCACTCACATTTTTCTCTACGTCTGATGCTGTACTAGATGCAGTTTTATTAACAGTGGACATTGTAGTCACAGCTATTTTCTGGGAAGTGAACTCTGTTAACTTTCGCATGTTTGCATCTGTAAAATTTGCTGTCATTTCTCGTTCCTTATCTTTGAGGTACCTTGTTTCTGCAGTTCTTTCGGAGCCATCAACCGTGATGGGCACCCACTCGGCCTCCGGGGCACTATTACCAGAATAATGCAACGCTACGTAAAATAACCCGACGATGACCACTATGCTGACTCTAAATATTAAGTTGCGGCGGTTGCCCAGGATTAGTATAAAATTAGGCACTTGCATTTTTATAAACTAGTGTTAACTATTCGATTTTATCTACAACGTCCTTCGTCGTCCTCTAGGACGTAGTTTCCTATAGAGCACAGTTTGTGTCAGCATCACAGATTAGTGTGTCATCATCAGCAGAGCTGAGCTGCACGCCGGGCCGGCGCCGCACTTGCCCCTGGAACAATCAGAAACACAAATTCAATATGGCTACCTCATTCCTTCAGTTACTGTTATTGGTATTTAAAGAATATTGCTTCAGGAAATGAACACGATGAGTTACAACCGCTGATGGATAAGCATTATAATTTTCTATCATAAAATACTAATCAAAATTGATTGGAATCTAATCCTAAGTATTTATTGCAAAACTCATGACCCATAAAATAATACGGAAGCTCTGTACGGCACTTAAATTATTAAAGGAATAAGTGAAACAGGTAACCCTTAGGTATGCTCATCTTCACAAGTTTTTATAAAAGCGAAAGAGTGTTTATCTGTCTTTTATGATGCACCAGCACCAGAGTGATTTTATGGTATTATTTTTGCACTACATAAGTACATGAGCTACGCATTAGTATACCTAATACCTTCCTACATAAGATCGAAATTAATATTACCAGTTATAAGTTATTTGCTAATTGACCGTCTGGAACGGACGCCTTAAGAGTAATTTTAATCTTTAATTATCAAGTAGAGTTCTGATTAGTGTTTATCGAAGTACTATCCTCGTAATTTAGATCTTTATCTGCCGCGGGATAAATTAATCCAGGTATTTTATCTTTGTACCTAATGCTTTAGACATGCAACTTTAGTGGCTAGATAGATGCACTAAAATACATTTTAAACTGGATCGTTTAACCTGTATGCTTGAATAAATCCGGTGTTGATGTTAAAGGATAGAAAATCAATATAACTTTCTCTATTAATAGAAGCAATGAAATTCAAAACCATTTTTCTTGAAATACCTATACAGCTTATTCACGTAATTTGATCTAAGCTCGAATAGTTTCAAGCTAAATCGGGACTCATACTATGTGTTATAGTAGTTTTATTAGAGCGAAAGTTTACGTTAGTAAACTGTACCAACATTTCTGCGAAACAGTACGTCTCGTTTCGTTTATAATAATTTGTATAGCTAAAAAGGTGAGGGATAACTTTTATATTAAATCTATCAGCAGTGTAGTTAAGAGTAATATATTGTTCTTACGAATAATAACGTTATTGAAAGGTGCAAAACAATATATCACACCTGTTAGTAAGGGTTTTATCTATCAGTCAGCATCTTTACATTACATATTTACATAAATACGTACTACGTCTAATGCGAAATACGAAGCACCATGGCAGACTCACAAAATCTAAAAAAATAACTTGAAAACCTTTTTATTATTAACCGACTTCAAAAAAAAGGAGGAGGTTCTCTGTTTGACCTGTATGTATGTATGTTTGTGAGTGATTATCTCGCGATTGGATGAACCGAATTTGATGCGGTTTTCAGAAAAGTGTTTGTTAAAATTAGGAGAAAATTTTAATACATTAATTAACCGACATCAATAAATTAAACTACTTCTTTCATTTCATGTGACTCGGAAATCAATCGCAAGATCTCATGAAACAGTTTGACAATTGATCCAATAGTTTTAATCAATGAAATAATAATTTAGATATTATGAATACATAGGTAGGTATTTATAACTATTACAATGCGCCTAGGCTGGTTCTCACGCCCATTAGATACTTCGAGTAGAACAATCTGACTGTATATTATAAATCATCTCATGAGAATTATATGTACCTGCGTTTTAATAATTTCAATATTAAAAAATGTTATATTTTTCGTTTGTACGCTGTTTGAGGTTTGTAGTTTTTTCTCAGTTAATCTATAACCATGAAGGAGGATAAAGGTCATAGAATTCGTGCTTTGTTTTGGCACATTTCAATGCAAGCATTGAGACATAGAGATTTTAATTAATTCAGTCAGTAGTACCTATTTAGCTTTGACGTACAAACTAAATTGTTTATTATTTCTTTATCCTTTTTCTTAGATGTAAACGATTTTTTTGGGAATCTCTATATTTACAGGGACTGTTTAGTAAACTGTTGCGTTGTCAGATTTTCGGATGTCCTGATTACCACTATATACCTACAGGATACTGATACATAGGTATCTATTAGTGATACCTGCTGGTCTATTCTGTAAGCGTTGTGTGAACTCTCAAAGTGAGCTCGGTCGCATTCTCGCCCATTATTGGTCGAGATTATTTTCACAATCAATGACATGGCGGACTGCGATCGAGCTCACTTCGAGAGTTCGAATTGACATCTTACAGAATAATCTAGCTGATACCTATGTAAGAACCTATGTTCTCACTATTCTTTTGATTTTTGTTATCTGTAGCCACAAACAATCTAAGCTGTTAGTAATTAAGGATTTAAAGATTAGCGAGATGCAATTGTACTTGTAAGTCAAACGCTAAATAAAGATACCTATGTAGGTATGGTCATAGCCGCTTTAATTGGACCTTTATAAATGCCAAATGTAACAACAATTTTTACACCATTAAAGCCCAAATTATATTGGTTTAAATGTAACAATCGAAGCTACTTCAAATATGTAGTTACGTAAGTGAAAATTACTTACAATGAAACACGTTTTGCCCTTGATTGGTGCTTGAATTATAAAAAGCCACAATTTGTGGGGAGTGCTCCTACGTAGGCTAATGGACGTATTTTAGTATTTTTATCGACTTCTGTAAGACACGCGAACGGTCTATGAATAATAGAAATGTGTCAGAAGAACGCTTATTTGGTCGTGAAATGGGACACATTAAATATTGGCCGGTTTCAAGGACTTTCTAATGATGTAGTATTGATTTAGTATTAAAGTTTTTTTGTGTTTAATTGTATTTTGGCAAATATATAACGATAGTTGTATTGACTTTTTGATATGTTGAAGGATGTTTTTAAGAAACTTGAACGACTTTGGTCGTTCATTTTGCAGATGGAGGGCAGAATCTAATCTTCTTGCACCATACATTTATGTAAACTGACTTAATGCTGATATTTTTAACAAATCAAAGTTTACGGCTCTAGTTGTAAGCGGTTGGTTATCGTGGCCTAAGAAACGTCATAAGTGCGTTGCCGACCATGTAGGATATTGTTTTAAATATGCTAAGATTTCTGGAGACCAGTTCTGCCTAAAAATGATAGTTCAATTAAATTAGTAAGGCTTCTGGAACACTTCACTGTAAAATTAATTAAGTATTCATTGTCCATTTTGGTCTCTCGTACCCCGTGACGTCTTTTATTGTTTATGTGCATGCGGACAAAGAGCAAGCGTGGTGATTAACGCTCTAACCTTCTCCGTGTGAGAAGAGGCTTTGCTCAGCAGTGGGCATTTAAAGGCTGTTGATGATGCATGCGGACGAATGTTTTTATGATCTGTGTAAATAGTTATTTTAAGTTTTCTTTTATTTAATTTTTAAATCATAATTTATTACGATTGTAAAAAAATAAAAGGCTATAACAACAAGAGAGTCAGACGTCAAGCGCTCATTTAGAAAATCATTTAACGTAAATAGTTTAGAACAATATCCCTATATTATAGTTCTATGCAAAAACAAATTGTGGGTAATAAAGAAAATAAATTATTTTGATGGTTAACCGGAATCCGACCTTGACTTTGTAATATCGTTCGACCGTAAAACTACTATGGACCGTGTAATAGGGTATTCCTTGACCACTAGACCACTTAAGTCGCTATTACTCTTTGAATAGAGCTTTTGTGGTTTTATATCTTGCCTATAATAGTCATCTACATTGTGGGAAAAACGCAAAATCTAATTAGCAACTTTATCTTTTTATTTGCATATAAAATTCGCTAGCTAATTGTCTTAAGTAAATTGTAACTAAGTAAACAACGTCGAGTCGAGATAATTTGTCAGATATGTATGAATTTGAATCTTTAATGGTATGTACAAAGTTCAATTTTCATTGTTCCTTTTTCCGTCATTGTTGGCTTTTACGTTGTAGAAACATAATAAGGTTTTTTATTTATCTTTTTTTATAGTCATTACATATACAAAACAAACTATAAGTAATGTCTATTATTTCGCTAGAAGACAGAGAGAGGGGTAACCAATGCCTCATTTCCAGAGCTTGAATTCAAACGTAGAACTTCGAGAACAGTAGTTAGACCTCAGCATTTACTAGACCAACATCAGGCACATAATTACATACCTAAGTAATTTCCCATATCCTTTTCTATACGAGATACCACAAAAATACCGTAGCTAGTACCACCATTTAGTTAAATTCTTTGAATGTTATCTTTGCAGAACATTAAAACTTTGTCGAGTTTGAAATAGCGCTAATGGTTAGTTCAGCAGGTGCAAAAATCGGTTCGCATACATTCCATCTGTTAAGGTATTTTCACACTACGCTAACTCTACGTTTGTTTACCGCATTTCAAACGCACTCGAAAAGTTTCCACGGGAGTAGTTTTGACATAAGATTCAAGTTTAGCAGCTGGGTTGGAGTTAGCAGTTTTAAGGTTTATCACAGAGCCTTGCTTCCCGGTTCCTATCAAATGTGTAGTGCTTTAGCCGCTTCTTAGGACATCCGTAAGATGAAAATACAGGGTGTAAACGAAACGCTCCCGTAAAACGCCGACGGGTGATGGCAAAAAAATAATTTTATGAAAGTCATAGAACGGTTGGTGCGGTGACTGGGCAACTGGCTACCGCGCAACGTGTCGCGGGTTCGATTCCCAGACGGAGCAACTCTTTGTGTGATCCACAGATTGTTGTTCCGTGTCTGGGTGTAATGTGTATGTGAACTTGTATGTTGGTCAACGCACTCATGACACAGGATAAAATCGTAGTGTGGGGTAACGTTTAAAAAAAATAGTTGTGATCAACCGCTCAAGGCTGTTGTTGATGTTGCATGAATGACACGTAAATATTAACGAATAAAATTGCAGATTTTTTGTCAGTGTTTACGGGAGAGTTCCCTTTACATCCTGTATTCTATCGTCTCCAAATGACTGCACTTTCTATTTAAGTTTCGTGCGTTGTCGTTGCGTTCAAAATCCTCGTGTGTATAATCCCTTACTTTGTCACTGGCCAATACAATGGATCGTAAGTTATGGCAAAGGTTTACATAGTGATTTTAAAC